AAGGAATACTGTCGACCACTACCGTGGGTATACATTGATGGTTGTTCATATCACCACGTCGCTGGTGCTGAACGGAAGTTAGTTGCAGGTATCGGAATCGCCTGGATAGGTGATTATCCTAATGTATCTATAGGATACAATATTGGTGCCAAAAGCAGTCAGATAGCCGAACTCTGTGCAGTATATAAGACCATTCAAATGGCAATAGAATATGGTATCAAAGAATTTGTTATCATAACTGATTCCAACTATGTTCGCAACAGTTTCGTTGAATATCTGCCTAGCTGGAAACGTAACCAAATGCTGAAAAGCAATAACAAACCTGTTAAACATGGGAAATTGTTTTGTAAAATTGATGAGTTGGTTAAGGAAAATGGTTTAACCATATATTGGAAGAAAACCAAAGGCCATTCTAAAATAGAAAGTATTGACAAGGATGGTAATGACTTAGCTGATTCACTGGCAAAACAAGCTGCCATCAATGGTGAAACCCTAAACATTGATGATCTTATGGGTTCAATTCATGTTGAAGCCATAACTAGACGACAGGCTAGAGATAATGCCGGCTTAAACGTCGTGCAATGGAGTCAAGAAGCTCCTAGTGAGGACCTGATTACAAGTCAAAAGAATGATCCTGTCATAGGCATATTCTATAAACATATAGAAGACCCTACTGCCAATCCCATCACAGATGAGGATTGCAAAATTAATGAAGATTTACGAATCTTGATGAGATATAAAGTCCAATTTAGTATCATACAAACACAATGGATGGAGCAATTTTGTTCTTTCCTCTTCTCCAATATATTGCTGCAGAGATAGAGAAATATGCAAAATAGTATAGTGCAAGGAAACACTCACAAAATCAGAGCCAAGGAACCTGGCTCTGGTATGGATGACTTCTGCATCTATTGTGGGGTGATCCTAACCCTTCTGTAGTTGGTATGGTCTCCAATAAGTAGAAGAGGATCCAGAGGATGGAATAATAAAAATCTACTTTATTACAAAAATATATACATAAGATAATAAATAAAATATGGAAGAATAAAATATAAGTACTAAATGATAAGCCAATACGCGTTTCGCCAATTGTGGCTTCCTCAGTCAGCTTTCAACAATACAGTCCAAATAATGTCCTTATATAAGTCCTCAATACCTTGTATTTTGCGGGAAAATCCGTTGTGGAACGCATTCATGCGTTCCATACCTCCGTTTACATTCATTTCCTGCTTCCGGCGGCATCCATGCTGTGGCGTCGCTTCCGCATTCTGACGTCACTTCCGGGGTTTCTCTCCGAGTGGAACGCATAGTGCGTTCCACTTGTTCTGCTGTCTCCGGTTCTCACAACAGGGAACTCCAATGGAACGCATATATGCGTTCCAAAAGCTCCCACTAGTCTCCCTTCACATCACAATGCTTCATACATTTTCGGTTCCCACAATAAGGCACAAATATATGTTCCAAACTCTTCTTAGTCTCTCTCCACACACCATATCTCATGTACATAAGGACAAGAGCATATTTAAATTCATTTTTAAATATAATATATTCATATGTCTCTATGGGTAATTATAATGTCTCTGTAAGTAATCATAATAAGAACCAATTAGTCATCTTGGCATATTGATTCAACTGGAATGTAAACAATCACAGTAAATACCAATGTATCAATACAATCATATATTTGAACTCTCGGTTCTTAAAGTGACCATGCTTGTTTTATAAGAACAGTGAATTTAAAAAGACAGTGAATTTTTAAAAAAAACAGTGAATTTTTCATAAAGTGACCATGCAGATATTACCAAAGTGCATATATATGTGATAAAATACCTACAATAATTTAATATCTTCCTAATATCCTTCGTTTAAAAAAAAATAAAAAAAAAAAGAAAGAAAGAAAGAAGGGGATTATCCCTATTATTTCCTCCTTGTATATTATACTAAAATATAATGAAACTATCAATCTATTTATAAGAAGTGACATAACTCAAAATCTTGGTTGAGTCCATTTGGAATTAATGTTTTTAAGTTATAAATACACTTCATCTCCTCTTCCCCAATTTTTTTATTAAAATCGCCCCCCCTCCAATCTCTATGTACTGCTTTTATTGCACAAAAGGACATCTTTTTTGGATCTTTATTATGATATAAGTTAAAATGATTGGAAACACTGTGTTTCCAATCCTTTTTTTATATTTCTGATATGCTCTTCGATCCTTATATGTACATTTCTAATTGTTCTTCCCACATATATGAGGTCACAAGGACATTTTAAAATATAAATAACATTTTTAGAAAAACATGTTAACTGGTTTCTTATCATGAATGTTTTATCTTTTTGGTACTGAAAGGAGGTGATGTGTCTTTTCTTTTGGTTGGTTTCCCTACAGGCTAGACAAGAACCGCATCCATAAAAACCTTTATTTTTATTTAAAAAATGTTCTTTATGTTTAGTAGTAAAACTGCTTTTCACAACTATTTGCTTTAAATTTTTACACCCTCTATATACTACCATTGGTTTGGAAGGTAAGATTTGTTTTAAAATAGGATCATCTTGTAATATAGACCAATGTTTATGGATAATTCTTCTTATCTTTGTATTATTTCCACTATGATTACATATAAAGGGAATTTTTGATTGCCCAGTATTTCTTTTCTTTTTTGTTATATTCCCTTTATATCTAATGAGGTCTTTTCTTTTTATTAGTTTGACCTCTTCCATGCATGTTGTTAGCTTTATTGGATTGTATCCTTTTTCTACAAATTGTTCTTTGATTTTTTTCGGCTTGTGTAATGTAGTCATCATCCTGGGTGCAGTTGCGTCTTATTCTTAAAAATTGGCTTTTAGGGGCGTTGTCTAACCAGGGGGTATGATGACAACTATTCTTATCAATATAACTATTCGCGTCTACTTCTTTAAAATGATTTCTTGTATGTAACTTAGATTCTGCTAAAAAAAATTCTAAATCTAAAAAATTTATTAGGTTATTACTATACGTGGATGTTAAAATAATTCCCCACTCATTTTGATTTAAATCTTCTAAAAACTTAATAAGTTGCGTTTCACTATCTTTCCATACAAAAAAAATATCATCGATGTAACGGCGATAGGACACTAAGTTCGCGGATAATGCATTGTGGGTAACTACTGTTTCTTCCCAATATGCCATAAACAAATTTGCATAACTTGGCGCGAACTTAGTGCCCATCGCCGTACCCGTAATTTGTAAGAAAAAAGAATCTTTAAACCAAAAATAGTTATTTGTTAAAATTAATAAAATACCTTCTAATATAAAATCTATTTGTATCTCTTTAAAATCAGATTTCTTTAAAAAGTGTTCTATTGCCTTAATTCCCAGATGGTGAGGTATGATGCTGTATAAAGAACTGACATCGCAAGTTACTAATAAATAATTTTCTTGCCATTTAATTTCGTCAAGAGTTTGCAGCATATGGATAGTGTCTTTTAAATAAGATGGATTGTTAACCACAATTGGTTGTAACAATCTGTCTATATATTCCGAAACTCTTGAGGAGATAGAGTCTATGCCCGAGATAATTGGTCTGCCTGGGGGGGTTATCTTTATTTTTATGAACTTTGGGTAGGTAATAAAAAACTGGTGTTTTAGGGTGTGTGATAGATAGATATTTTGTTTCTTCCTCTGTTAAAATTCCCAGAGTATTACCTTTTATAATATAATTTTTAAATTTTTCTTGTATATTTTGACTTGGATTCATATTGATCTTTTTATATGTATTTATATCTAATAAGATTCTTTCTGCTTCTTTCACATAATCATTTGTGTATTTAATATTACCACTCCCCCCCCTTTATCTGCAGGTTTGATAATGACATTCTCATCCTTTCTTAGATTGTCAACAGTTTTGAATTCTTGCATAGTCATGTTCTTTTGAAATTTATTTAGTTTTTTGATTTTCTGTACCTCTCTTATTACCATCTTTTCGAATGTTTTCATTTCATCTGAAATTAAAAACTTTGGAAAAAAATGGGATTTAGGTTTTAATTCTGTTTGTACATATTCAGATACTTTTTCACTATTATGATTAGATTGCTTATTATAAAAAAATTTTAGGGATAGTTGTCTAATAAATTTTTGAATATCAATAAAAAAGTTAAATTCATTAAAATCTGAGGAGGGGGCAAATTTTAAACCCTTTTTCAAAATATTGATCCGTTCCTCTTTTAGTGGGGACCCTGTTAAGTTAAAAATTCCTTCTGTATTCAATTTCTGCCCCTCTTTTCTCTGCCCCGTATCGTTTCTTCTTCTTCTCCTTCTATTTCTCCTTCCTCTGATAATCTTAATCGTTTCCCTGGTGTCTCCCCTATCTGTTGGGATCGTCTGCGATGGTGTTGAAACGGGTCCTGCCGGAAAAAAGAGTCCTGATCCTGATATTGATTTTCTAAACTCTTAAACCTATTCGTCAAAGGTATCTCATTAGGATTGTTGTAATATGAATTTATTTTTTCAACCCTAAATGGTTGTTTATATTCCCTATGTTGGTGGTCACTTCTTGGATATTTCACTGCCTCACTATATGTTCTGTTATAACTTGAATTGGTTCTATTAGGTCTCTCTTTTATAATTCTAGATTTATGAGCTTCTGTTGGTCTTTCATAATATTTATTTCCCATAAATTTATGTCGTTCATAAGAATTATTTGTTTGTCTGATTTCTCTATTGTCAAATTGGTTAAAACGTGTCCTTTCATGGATGGGTTGCTGGTCAGAACTTCTAAACATGGTATACAACAATGGGTAGTCCCAACTGTATACAGAGGGTTAATGCTCCAACACGCACATGATGCACCTACATCTGGGCATCGTGGTGATAAGATCACATATGAGATATTGCGTGATTATGCATATTGGCCACACATGTTAAGAGATGTTAAGACATACTGTCAGGGATGCTTGATTTGTCCGCAATATCAACCCCATGGTCCAACCCATCGTGCACCACTTCAGAAGAGGGGGGTGTCATTACCCTGGTCTGATATTCAAATTGACTTTATAGGTCCTGTAACAAGATCTTCAAGAGGTAACAAATACATGTTAACCGTTACATGTATGTACACAAAATGGATAGAATGTTTGCCTTGTAAAGAGAACACGAGTACCGTGTGCGCCACTTTGTTGATTAACCATGTCTTTTCCAGGTTCGGTCTGCCTCAAAGAATTGAGTCAGACAGAGGTAGTCATTTTACCAGTGAAGTAATGGCTAAGATGTGGAACATTCTAGGTGTTAAACGAAAGCTACATATTGCATACCGCGCTGCGTCTAGCGGGGGGGTAGAGCGATATAACCAGTCTATCGTTAATATTCTGAAGAAATATGTTAAGGAGTCTGGTAAAGACTGGGACATTAAATTACCCCTAGTTTTAATGGCGATTAGAGCTACACCTAGCACTGCTACCAAATTGTCACCTTTTGAATTGATGACAGGAAGAAAGATGGTTTTACCACAACATTTACTATATCGTACTTCGGATCATAACTTGATCAATGCTGCCACTACGCATCAGTATATCGAAGATTTGCGCAAGCATTTACAGCATGCGTTTGCTTTTGCCCAAAAGAATCTAGAAAAAGCAGCGACAGGGGTTAAGACCTATTACGATCTAAAAACCACGAAAAAGGAATATGAGATAACAGATCAAGTCTATCTGTATAACTTTGCGCGAAATCAAGTCAAGGAAAAGAAATTTTTACCTTCTTGGAAAGGGCCATATGTCATCATTGACAAAATTTCCCCAGTAGCGTACAAGATAAAAATTCCTAAGGATGGTGATTTTATTGAAAAGTGGGTTCACATTAACCAGTTGCATGCTTGTCATCCTAAATCTCAATTAAGGATTATAGGTGTGGATTCGGACGCAGAAGGGTGAACGACTAACCTGGATGAATGCTTGATTCACGTGGTATAGTATGATGTGAAATGTTGTGATGTGCCATGATCTCATGTACCTTCATGTCATTAACCATTTCCTTGCCATCCAATAACTACATTTTTAAGCAGGTTACTAGCTTGTTTAACTGCTATAGGCATATTGCTGAGGAGTCAGTAATAAATGTAGTGAGAGATGAAGTTATAAAAATAGAATTAGAGAGAATACATATGTTGATGAATCGTAATAATGTGTTGTCCTAGGCCAAGTGATGTCACACTGTTATAAGTTTGTATGTTTAACAAACCTTGAATCATTAGTAGATAAGTCTGAAAGGAGTTCCTGATCCGTGACTGTCGAAGGATGTCCAAGAAGGATGTGGCGTGTTTCTGGATCGTACTGCTCCTGTGCCAAGAGCTACGGACCGACCCGATCGCAGAGATGGGACCATCCTCCGGCATCCTGATTCAAGAGACACCAGGGTTCATCTTAACAGAGAAGAGGATCCTGACCCGACGTGTGTTCGTCAGCTTAGACCCCAAGATTTCCATCGAGAAGGCATACAACATTTCATCGATGCAGCTTCCTGAGTTACAGACTTGGTACCAGATGCACCTCCAAAACGCACAGGACCGTGTGCGAAACATCTTGGAGCAAGCCCGGAAACCATTTGTATCCAGTTCTATTCCGATGAGCAACCGACCCAAAAGGTTCCTCACCGCTATAATTGTTGCATTAGTTTGTGCCACTGTCGGTGCAGTTGTCGCAACTGGAATGTCTGCAGCCAACTCTATTACTGTCCAAAAGCTGGATATGGAAATCTATGCGCTAAAGCAACACATTAACGATATTCATCAGGTGATACAACAGCAAAGAACACTTCTCCAAGACGTGTTAACTATTGTGGAAGACACAGTTGTTACAACAAATTTGCATTTGGAGTTAATTGCCAAATCCACTGAGTTGCACCAAAGTCATGACTTATTTAAGCGTGAACTTCTATTTCTGCATGACCCAATATTGTTCCACACACTTGCTTTTCTTGATGAAGTGCAAACTGGAATGATCGAATTGGCAGGGGGACGCATACCTCTGTATTTTGTATCCAAGGATATTGTTCATGCGATGCTTGCCAATGTGGATGGAGAGACAATTGAGCCTATGCAATTAAATCTGGCCTTTGAGATGGGGAGCGCTATACATCTCTTAATTAATCCGGAACGTATGGAGATTTGCTTTTTATTGACCATACCATATGTAACTCCCAAAGACGTTTTTCAAATGAAAACAATGTACTATGTAATAATGATATTATGGTTGATTGTACTAAGTGTAAAGTTTAAAACTTTTACAGGTACAAATATATACAGAAATGTTCATTCCATGCACGGGCCTATGTTAGAAATGATGTGATTGCACAATATGTCTGATAACTTCTATAGTGCTTATTCATAAGCTAAATTAATTTTGGCTATGAAATGCACTAAAGGGGGGTTATGTCAGGGTATTTATATCGGCAGACATTTTGTGCTATGATAGAAACTAAAAGTGTATATTATGAGTCACTCTGAACAGACCAGACTCCATTTTGTTATTTTCAAGTTAACAAAAAGACACCAGATTTCTTTCTGTAAGACTAGCCATTTTGCCAGAGCTAAGGAATGCATAGCATAGTATAAACAAGTGATAAGAAGAATATAATCAAATCTAAACCCAGACAATTGTGACAGAGAAGATTAAATAATAATATTTAACTGTCTATACATATAAGGTCCCATTGTAAGTTACGGGTCAAAACTTAGATTTGCCAGACACATAGTCTGGACAAAACTTAAAGAACCCTTTGAAATTTTAAGTTATGGCACTATAAAGATAACGCAAAATGACATCAAAATAGCCACCAGGAAAAGTTAACTCTTTCCTGGATAGGTATGTTTAGTGGGACAAGACTGCCCTCTATAGACCAAATAACTAAATTGCGATCTGGAAGATAACCACACCTCTAGTGCTTCTATTGGGTTATCAACTGATGACGTACAGAGAGTCTGGCCCTTTAAAAGTTAAGACAAAGGGAAGATAGAGAGATGCAGGGTATGCAAGAGATGCAAAGGAGAAAGGAAAAGAGGAGAGAGGAATTGGAAGTTTGGGGACTCCAACCTCCATGCAGAGAGACATCCAAATAAGTTCCTGAGACTACCAATCGGATGAAATATCTACTCAACTGGTAATTATACTGGTTTCATTTAATTAATTAAATTAATTAAAATGTATTAATAGCATTATATATGACTGGATAAAGCACGGTCAGATTTCCATATTAAGAAATCTTAGTTAACTAAAGAATATATAGTTATAAACATTCCATTCTGCAGGTGGAATTAAGAATAATTATATATTGATGTGATATTATCACGTGTTAGCATATCGCTGTTTTATCCAAGTGTATTGATTTGCTCTAAATTAAGATAAGATATCTTTTAGACAAATTAAAATCTGCTTATATAATATGGTAGATTCTCTTATTGGATGGTTCCAGGAAATGACTAATGAACTGGTTTAAATGTTATTTTATTTAAAAATTACATAAGAATAGATCTTAACTACCTAGGAGATCTAGCCAGCATTGAAAGGGTTATTCTAACTGTCAGCTAAACTTTACTACCTGACGCTGCACTCTGAAGAATTCTGTTCTCTGAGTGAAACTTTTTCAGTCTGTGAAAGCTAGTCATAAATCGTAGAAGTCTTGACAGATAATGCCGTTTAGCCATTGAAACGTAATACCCATTTCTTTGTATTGCATATCATTTTATACTGGATATTCATTGATTATTATCACGCATGTTACATATTATTATTATTAATTTGTTAATTATTGGTTATCATAAATAAAATCTATTTTTATACATTGTGATATTATTTATATGAAATACTTCTCACTTAACACGATAACGATATTTGGGATCTGAGAATTGAATTAGTGGGCAATTCTCAACTGTTGACTATTATTATCCCATAAATATCCCCACAGTATGGGTGGTATAATCCCCACCTAAGGATTTTTCGTAAGTTCGTGTTGGTTCAGGTTAGTCAGGTGTAAAAAAATAAATAAAATTAAATAAAAATAGGAATGTGGCAATAAAGTATTTGAGGCCAAAATTCCTTTATTATAACAATATAAAAACTATTAAAACAAATTCTAAACGTGTTTTGCCCACAACAGGCTTCTTCAAGTAGAATATAGTAAAAACAATAACCTGACTAACAATGCTTTATATAGGGTATACTAAGTGTACTGGAATTTGAATATTCCCACCAAAATGACGTCATCACAAACTTCATTTTAAAATATGCATCAAAATAGAATAACAATACCATAAAAGTCTTATACATACATATATAAATTGATTGTGTACATAATTTTTGGAAAACAAGATGTAGAAATTCGTTACAAGCGAAAGTCACGTGACGCGCGACACAAAATTGCTTCCGCGTCACGTGGGTTCAGTGAAACACATGCGTTCGATAGTAATGGAACGCATGCGTACAGAGGCAAAGTGCCGGCCAGGTGGGATCAAAGAAGCCCCACGTCACCAGAGGGGAGGAACCCTCTGGTGATCGTGAGGGCTAGGGGCAGGCTATAAGCATGCCGTCTGTTCAAACAGATGAACAGACAGCATGCTGTTAGAAATGAGCAGCCAGATCCCTAGTTCTAATACACAGAGGGCACATAAGTGCAACCTTATCAACAGACACATATAATAGAACATAAAAGTGTATAAGTATTTATAAAAGAGCAAAGTATTAAAAATATTTCAAAGGTATTTCTATTAATAATATATATTTTTAAAAAAGGTGTATGCATAGAAAAAAATATATGTATAAAAATGATATGGGATATAATATGGACTGAATAAAAATACTAAAGTTATATCAGAAGAATTAATTAAAATACATAAATATATATGTTTCTACTTTTGTTAAAAGGGTGGATGCAATAAAAATTATATAGAATTATAAAAAATTAAAAAGATCAAAGTCTATATTTAGACCTTGAGGGGTAAGGGTTTTTAAATTAAATGCCCATTCCATTTCTTTACTACCCAAAATCTTTTTTATATCTCCACCTCTCCAAGGGATGTTACAAGTATCTATACCTATGCATTTCAAAAATTTTGGATTTTTGCCATGCATTAGGAAATGTTTAGATACTGAATGGTTCTCATAACCTTTTCAAATATTTCGGCAATGTTCTGCCAGTCTAATTTTTAAATCTCTAGTGGTCATGCCCACGCATTG